GAACGGCATTCACCCCTAGTTCGGATCAGCCTTTCTATTACTATAGTAAGTATTTTTAGATTATTAAGAGAAGAAATCAATATTTCAAAAACATTTTCTTCTTTTGTTCTTAACTCCTAAATAAAGTGATTTTCTTGAAAACATATTTTTTAATCTTTATTTCATTATTACAAAATGAAAACACTGTCAGATGTTAGCCTTGTTCCAAAATGAAAACATTCTACAATCATATTTAGTGTACAATTATGGACGACGATCTTGCTGATAACATGTCACGTGACAAACTGTCGATAGACAATTTGACAAATAATTTATTTTTGCAACTAACAGTTTTTTGACAACTCATACATCAACAATATTGCCATCCATAATTGTATAAATAGATTAATCCAACATTCTATAGATTTATTATGTTACCAGGGGCATAGCATAATCAAATGATATGAATAATATGTAAAACAATTGGTCCCTATCATCATTGTCACTGCTGTCTTTATTATTTTTGCGATAACTATATGTCACAATTATAGTTTGATAGTCGATATGTTACATTTCCAAAGTTGAGGACTCGATCCGTGAAATCACGATAAAAGCTCGAAACTAGTTTAGCCCCTGCTTGACAACCATTATTTTCAAACTATTTTTTTTTTTTTTTTACATGTTCATTTTCAGCCATACGTTCATACAATACAATATTTTGTACGAAAATCCAAAATTTTTCCTATTTTTTAACTACTCATTCTCTTAAAAAACCCACCACAGAGAGATAAAATCAACCATTTGCTTAGCTTCCATTTGCGAGGAATTTATAAACAAATTAATTTCTAGATAGATAGAAATCAATGATGTATAAATGTATAGTACTTGTAAATTCATAGGTAGGTATGTGATTAAAAATGAAGTTTTCCTATTTATAAGTAATTTATATTTTTTTTAAAAACGGAGACTTGTTAAAGCAGAAATGATTTAATAAGAACCAATGACATGTTACATAAATCAATTGGTGGATAACAAATTTAAATTTTATATTGAGATCCACTATAAGTTTAGTCACCAATGTTTGATATAATCAATGCTTAACATAAACAAATCACCAGTGCCACCTATAGAATGTGTGGTTAAAGATAAATAAAAGTTGTGATTCCGACGAAATTCGTGATTAAAAAATTGAAGTTTTGATAAGCTCAAGGCCTTGTTTGATTCTATTTTTTTTTTTCAAAATACATTTTTTTCTCTTTCGTCTTTTTAATCACACATTTTTTTAATAAAATAATATTATATACAAACTAACAATTTTTTCTTATTTTTAACTGCTCGTTCTTCATCAAATCACTATTTCAAAATGCACTCTTTAAAAAAAAAAAAACTCTAAATCACAAAAGAACTTCGTAAAAATGGGCGTAATGTCCTTTTTTCATCCTGTAATATGTGATGATGAGACAAAGATGAGGCATATGATTATATATGGCGTAGTTTTGAAATTTTAGCCCCTGTTTGTCTACCATTAATCCAAAAAATTATTTGTTACAGTAAGATTCTCCACCACACATTCACCCAATAAAATATTCTACACACAAACTAATAAAATTACTTAATTTTCAACCACTCCAAAAAATACTATTTATTATACTAATTTTTTCCTAATAATAGGAGACAAACAAGCTCTTAATCAAATTTGAATAAGAGAAATTTTAATCAAATTTAAATTCAGCTAATGTTTGGGACACCTTTTTTGTATATTTGTACAAGAAATATGACCGTTTGTCCAATAGATTTCTGACAATCCCTTGACTTTCTGTTGTACCAAAAATCATACTTTGCAAACAATTTTCCACATTTGTCCTTCTTCCCAATCCAAAAAACCATAAATGGACAAAAAATAGGACAAGGACAAAAATGTAAATTGGTGTAAATTATATATGAAATGGAATGGAGTCACATGTAGGCGGCCCCACATTGATTTGATGTGAAAATGCATTATAAGGTTAAAAATGATGATCAAACGGAGACTCAAGCTAGAAACGGTAGCTTGAACAACGGATATTTTCGTTGTTAAAGGTAGATATTTCGTCGATAACCATACTTATCAAATCAATTTTCCCCTCGATACACACCCAAGGTAAAAGTCCCGTCAAATTTTCGACGACAACATAATTATCGCTGATTATTGCCGGATTTCCTTATATATACATATCCGTTGAAAATACCGACAAATTCTATGACGACTATCCACACGTATATTAGAATAGAGTTTGATCAATCTCTTTCTCGTCACAAATCCAAAATATTGACCGAAGAATGATCGCTTCATAAGATGAACCATTGTTTTTGTTTCATTTAGCAACCCGGGGACCAGACTCAAGTTGACAATTGCTAAGTGGTGGACAAGCTTTGGAAATTTTATTAAGTGATTGGTTGCTTATCCACCATACGTACTTTTGTCCCATTCTTGCATAATTAAGCAATGACTAAGCTATACAAAATATTCAATGATAAATACTGTCTAGTCACTGATTCTCCAAGTGTTGGAAAAAAAAAAAACAAACAAATGGTGCTATCCACAGAGAACTCAAAGAGAGAAAAGATGAGTGCACATGGAGAAGAAGGAGCAGTTCTTTTGTTCGAGACCAAAGAAGCAAAAGGGAGAACTGCTTTTAAACTATTTTCTTTAACGATATTTCTGGGTATCGTTTCAATCTGGGGATACAGATTAATTTGTATTCCTAGAACAGGAAGATATGCATGGATTGGGATGTTCATTTCTGAGTTAATGTTTGGTATATACTGGATATTTACTCAGTCTGCTCGATGGAACGTTGTTTTTCGCCATCCCTTCAAGCACAGGCTCTCCCTCAGGTACTTTTCTTTCTCCATTAAGCTACTCGAATGTAGCGCCCCGAGTTCCGTTA